AGAGAGAGAGAGAGAGAGAGAGAGAGAGAGAGAGAGAGAGAGAGAGAGAGAGAGAGAGAGAGGACAGGGAAATCGTGCAGCGCGTCACCCGTTCTCACTGTACCGTTATTAAAATAGCGCCTCCGTATTTGCGATCGCCACGAGGCTATCGGCCATTTTCTGTCGCCGTATGGCGATCCTGGCGTCGGTTGTTGCAATTTCCCCCTTGCTCGCCCCGGGCGCGCTCTCCCTCCAAAGGGGTTGCTCAGGGTGATGCTCCTCCAGTAAGGGGCCGCACAGAGGGTTCATCTCTCATGCGAGGCGGTTGGTGGCACGGAATTTCACCCCCGTGGGGTCGACCGCGGAGAGATATCCCAGCATATTATCCCTCGGGAAGCCGTGTAATGAAACCGTTCCGGCACCCCCGTGGCATTATTCCCTCGCCAATATAACCCACCGCCCTACGTAAGAATATAAGGTGCATGATACAGGGCGCAGCTGCACGTCGGCATCGATACGCCCCCTCTTTTATGCGTGTCGTCCCTTAACGGAGGATAAACACGAGAGAGAGAAGGAAGGAGGAGGGAGAGAAGGCGGAGAGAAAGAGAGAAGGAGAGAGAGCTAGCATCAGCAACGATAGCGTCATTAAGAAAACGTGCGCCGCGTGAAGCTTTCACCCCTTTGAAAATCGAAAACTCGTACGTCGCCTACAAATTTCCTACAAATTTCTCGCGAAGGGTGTATAAAATAAATATACAAAGTAATATCGCAAAGTATTTCACGAAAGAATTTCGTGCGATGTTTAAAATGTATCGCACAGATTGTTGCATACGCGAGAATGAAGTTTCGCGATAAAATGCGTGTAGATATGCGTGGCAACTCAATGTCCGATTCAAGATGAAGGAAAACTAGAAGAAAGCGAGAAGAGAATGCACTTGTGATTTATGTGGAGTACGGAACTTTATAGTTTTTTAGACGCATTTAAGACAGTCGGTGTTTTATCTAGCTTGCATTTAACGAGGACGGATTAGCGGGAGAAGAATAGCGTGTATCATGGACACACCGTTACTCCAGCGAATCCATATAGCTGTGTTTCATCCCCTCGTACGTCGTACCAGCTAACATTTTTCGATGTTCTCGTATGCCCGCATGGACAAGATAACGAGGTATCACGTGTCGAAAGATGAGGATGGTACTTTTAAAAAAACGACAACGCGCGTATCGTGCGTCATGATTCAACTGAATATATGTCTTACGTATTTAATAACAAAAATAATAATCCATAATCGCTCTGATCTCTCCTGCCATATTACACGCATAACTTTAAAAGATGACAAAGAGATTTTTCGAAACGTACGCATGTACTTCGGATGTTTTTATACATCTCTTAATGAGTATAAAGTATCTTTAGATGTAACGCAATATTTCGTACACACGTGAGAGAAGAAAATTTTTGTGTATACTTCGAGAAAAAGATATAGTGACGGCAACTATAAAGTAACAACTATACGAATTTTGTATGTGTTAATATATATAGTTCAATAAGCTATTTTACAGTTATATTGCAGCACAATAGTTTGTTGAACTATATACATTATAATTCCATATATAAAACTCGTACAGTTGTCACTTGACAGTTGCCATTACCATGTTTTTCTTTGAGTGCAAAGATGCTTATGGAATGCCAAAAATAGATATCGTAACGCTCTATCCTCCCGAGTCCTTTTATACGGTAATACGTTACCGTGAAAAACTTCTCATATAACGCGACCTTTTTACAATATATTCGAGTTACGTCTTGCATTTCGCCCGCGCTTCACTCTTTTCCGTTTCATCCATTGCTGTATATACACATTAGTGCTGTCTCGCCCATTTTCCCGTTATTCTGTATTCTCATGTCCGCCTTTGACCGAACAGCCGCCAATGAACGTGACACGTTAATTAACATCTATTAATATCCGCGCGCACAATGAACGTGACACTTTACGTAATGAATCATTAACATTGTGTTCGAACTGTGAACGATGGGTTCCTCCATGCAATACCGAAAATATTTTTAAAGACTTTTCTTTCAGTCTTTTTTCTGCTCTCTTTTTTATGATTCATCATCATTTGTCAATAAATACGACAACGTCCGCAGAGAAGTCGGGGAATATCAAAATCGATCCAGCTTCAGCGTATGACTTTTACCTCTATGATCCTCTTCGGCGTTGAATAGCTCTCCACCAAACAAATAAAGCTACCTATATTGCATCTGTCGTTTTCATGCGTGAATGTATATTCATGTCGCTTTGAAGTCGAGATGCGACAAATGACGATTGTGATCGAAACATCACCTCAAATCACGAGTCCTTCGTATACTCAATTACTTTAAAGGCCTTTAAGGCCCAGTCATCGATCCCGTTCGAGTATAATTCTTTCTTCACAAATAGTCTTGAAAGACGCCCCTGACGAAGAATCTTGTGATCTGAATTAAACTGATCGTCGCGAAGTACGATTTTCTGAATGAACAATATGACTAGAAATTTATCCCACGTCCCGATCAGATTGATCCTAATCAGTCTGGTTTGTTCTGTATCTGGCTTATACAAGGTAATGTTATCCTGATAAGTCATGCAACGTAGCGGGACAATCAGAATCTCATTAATAATGATTATTAATAATTTGGACCTCAATAATAATTAGGACCCGATAATATCGCCTTGTACAAATCAGATAACCGATTGGGATCAATCTGATCAGGATTATGAGATAAATTTCTAGTCGAGATTATGCACATTCATGTTTGCATGTGTGCCCAGCCAGAGAATTTAATAAATCTTATAATCACATAATAATGAACATAAAAGTCAACCTTGTATTTCAAGATAACAC